GAACCAGGTCTGCCCGGAGGGCCGCAAAATGAAGCATTTGGGTAGAAATCCGTAGAGCTGGCGGACCTTGGCCCTATGAACGCACCGTCAGTCCTGCTGCCTTTGTCGGACCCCGACACGCACAAGTTGTTCGTGGTGACGCTGTTCTTGTTCTTATCGTTGGCGTCCGGCAGCTTGAACCAGACCTTCTGCCTCGTCTCGATAGTGCCGTCCGCGTTCCTCCAGAAAAAAGGGCCGAAATATTCGTCCTCGATCAGGTATTTGAGGACGGTGGGCAACGATCCGGCCACAGTTGTCGGTATGAAGCCGTTGCAACCCAGATTCCTGTGAATTGGTTGGTGCACACACCTCTGCCGGTGGCGTTGCTCACGCGGATTGGGTAAACAGGTCGCCCTGCTTGAACCATGGTCGCTGCTAGTGCTCAGATGTCGTTCAGAGCCTCTTCAGCCTTATTGCTTACGACATTGGATACCTCGTTTTCACTTCCGCTACCGTCGTCACTGCCAGACGAGCTCGAAATTGTGGCAGGAGTGGCCATCGTGGTTAGAGGAGACAGAGCTAGCGCTGCGCACAAATCAAAATCGAAAGCTAAACTAAAAATACAATCTCGGCACGGACCCGGTGCCTGTCACATACATGTCACAAGCGCGCACGGGATCGCGTTCCATTCTTCCGCGGGGTTATCGTACCCCGCGTTCTGGTGCGCCGTTTGTGCGCTCAGCGCAATTTATTTTGGTTTCTGCTCCTTTTCCGCCGAGTCCCCTAGTCCCACTGGACTCATCGCCTGCATCCGGTTCTCTCGATCGTCAGGCAGTCTCGATACACGCCACACACGGTGGCCGTCTTGGTCTGTAAAGTAATGCCCTTTGGGGATTGGATCCGACTTGCCCGCCCAGTGCGCCCACCTTGCTGATTTCGATGCCTCGTGCGCGAAGAAACAGCGGATAATCTCCAGATGACAAAGCCGCAGATCTGATGCTTTTAATTCAGCGCCTATCGATCTTCCGCGCCTCGTTTTTGCTTGAATCGTGCTGCCAGGTTCTCCGTGCATCCATTTGTTCCCAGTGGCCGCCGCGACCAATGATCGGCCTCCGCTCCATTCAAATGAGATATGTTTAGGTCTTCTTATGTGCTGCTCTTGATGGGCTGTGGCCGTTTAAGCTTTTAGTGCTCGCCCTGAAAGCTGCGCACCGATCTCTCTCTCTCTGTCTCTCTCTCTCTCGATTATCATGGCCACCAATACGCTCCCATTGACAACCCTCGACACCGTGCGCGACATCGAGGCCGCGTTCGACTTCCTCGCCGCCAACCCGAATATGAGTGTGCGCCCCTCTGTTTTTTATTCCATGCTCGTCCTCATGTCGTCTCAGCAAATTCCGGGATTTACCCGCGCCTTATTCATTGGCACCGGAATGGACGAGCCCCTCATCGTTCGCGTTCCTCGTCCTACACCTCAGCTCGCCACAGCACGGGACCTCGACGTCCAGCCGTGGCTGGTGCCGAACCCCGCCCATTGGAGTCCGACCGTCAGGACGTTCGAGGCTTCCATGTCCATCGACACTGTGGGCCATTTCTTCATCGTTGGACCCGCCCAAGACTGGCATCCCATGGACGACCCCACTCTCCAGAACCCCGCTAACAACTACGTCTCCAAATTGCGGCTCCCGACCACGAAAGACTTCACGACGGGCAACATCCTCGTAGTGCGCGTTGCTGAGCACACGGGACGCCCCCTTGACGTGTTGGACTCGGACGCAGCGGCCGTTATGAGCCTCGTTATCGGGTGAGCGTTCTCGGACATCCTTGGACTTTGACTCAACACTTGGCTCAGCTTTGCTTCGAACAACGTGATGGTTGGCGCAAGGGGTGCACCGGGGAGTTATTTCATCGTAACGGGCAAGGTGACGGGTCGGGCTCCTTGAAGGCCAGCCCTCGCGGGAGACTATTTTACTGTCTACTGTATCACGCTGACAGTCGGTTGCTGTGCGCGCAGGATGTTTCGGTTCCGCTCCCATTTTTTTTTGTTCTTCTTCACCACACCGCAAGCTTCTCCTCGCCATCGCCGATATGGACACTTCTTCTACGCCTACGCTCTTGCATGGACATCAGTAGGGTAGAAGTTTGTCGTTTGTAAATTTCGTCAATTGAAAGCTATGCTGTTCCTCTTCTCTCTTCACCGAGTGCGCGTGAAATGCACTATTCATCGAAGTTCGACCACTTGATGAAATACGGCCCAGTAGCACAGCGGTTTAGTGCGCCCTGAATTGATGTTGCATATCCCAGACACCACTATCAGGAGGACCCTTGTTCGACTCAAGGCTGGGGCATGCGGGATACTCCATCTTTTTCGTTCTTTTTATTAATTATCTTCGAGGATACGGGAATAGCCGGAAAATCATTGCCGGATTGATCCGCTTGTTCTCCGGCATGCTTGCGGCATGCCAGAACCCTCTCAACAGGCGCACGAGTCTTGTAGTCGTATCGTCTCCGAGTCAGACCGGATCAGCTATATCTGCTTTTTCTGTGAATCATCGGGCAGTCACAGACACACACCGCCCATGCCGCCCCTTTGTTCTAAGGCCTTTCGGGACCTGGGCCCTCTCCAGCTTTCCCGCGACAATTGTGGCACCTTCGGTTCCTCGTGCGCAAAGAAGCGGCGGCGGATCGACAGATGACACAGCAGCAGATGCGATCCTTTTAATTTAGCGCTTATCGAACCTCCGCGCCTCGTTTTTGCCTGAACCATACTAGCAAGTTCTCCGTGCCTCCATTTTACTCACTATGTCCGCCGCAGCCAATGTTTTCCCTCTGCTCAATTCAAATCGGTTATCTTTAGGTCTTCTACTGCGCTTCTCTCGATGGGCTGTGCCTGTTTAAGCTTTCAGTGCTCGTCCTTAAAAGTGCGCGGCGCTTTCTCTCTCTCGCGCAGCATTCGACCGTCATGGCCACCACCACGCTCTCATTGACCACTGAACGAACCATCGTCGAGATCGAGGGCCGCTTCGACCAAAACGATCGTAGTCTCCCCGTGCGCCCTCTGGCTTTCAATCCATGCTCGTGCTCATGTCGTGTCATTTCAGCCGAGACACGGCTTCCTTAACGCTTTCTTCATCGGCACGGGAATGGACCAGCCTCGTATCGTCCGAGTCCCCCGAACCCGGCACCAGCCCGCCAATTGGAAAGAGCTCGACTTGCGTTCGTGGTTGGTGCCAGACCCCGCGCTCTGGGCCCATGAAATCGGGGTAGACGGCAAGGACATGCTCCTCCACGACGAACTGTTCTGTGTCATGGGCACCGACCAGGACAGGCCCTTCGGAGTTGCCAACATCGTCCACCCCCCCAACGCCTTCGTCCGCGCCGCCAGTGCCTGGGGTTGTAACTTCAAGGGCAACCTCCTCGTCATTCGCCTCGACAAGGCCGACGGCCGCCCACTCGACGTGCGCGAGTCGGATCGGGTACATGTCCTCCCGTCCGTGCTTGGGTGAGTGCTCTCTGCGGTGGGTGTTGTTCGACTTAATACTCGACAGCCTGGTCTTCCCTGGGGCCAGTCAAATCTTGGGGCTCTAAGGCCGGTGCGCTCGTCAGTTTATACTCTGTCTTCTACTGTACCGCTCTGACTGTCCATTGCTGCACGCGCAGGACGTTGCTTCAGATTGTTTTTTATGCAAATTTCTCGCAAGCTTCCGCCGCCTCTACGGACATTCCTTCTGCTCCTACACTCGTACATGGACATCAGTAGGGTAGAAGGTTGTCGCATGTTGCATGTAGATTTGTAATTTTGATAAACGCTGCTTGTCCCTCTTCTCTTCTCTTCTCCTCTGTGAACCAAGCCGTTCCGTGGTTAACAGTTGAGATGTGTTTTGAATTCTGTCCGGGTGGCGTCGGATCTATCAGCGTTGCCCGCTTCGTTAACGATGACCCAGCAGCACAGTGGTTCGGTGCACCCTGCATTGGTGCGACCAACCAGATGTCTCTATCAGGAAGACCCTTGTTCGACTCAAGGCTGGGGCATGCATTTGGATATTTGTCTCTTTTTCTTCCTGTGAATCAATGGGAACGCGGCCCAGTAGCACAGTGGTTTAGTGCGCCCTGATGATTTGTCAGGTTTCATTTACAGCGCTTTTCATAAGTTTGCGGAAAACGTAAAAATTTCCCAGGCTGTTGGGTTTTGTTTGTACCGGGCGCCTAAATCGTCCTCGAAGTGTTCTCTCCTTCCTCCGTGCCCACGACCACCCACTTTCGTCTCAAAACTCTCCTTTTGGACTCTACCGATAACCCCGGGAACATCCCCGGCGGACGGGAAACCTCCTGTCCCCGAAACGCGCTGTACGCACCAGAAACCTGCAGTACTTAGCCAACTCGATGACTGCGGCCTCCAATCGACATCACTAGCATTCTTGTGGCCCCTTCGATTGTTTTGGGGTTCGAAAAGCACTCGTCTCATGCGAGCGAAGTGTTTCTGGATACAGTAGGGGCGACACGACGTCCGAGAGATATCACTATGTGATGTCTGGGCCCTGAAAACGGCCACCAACCTACGGGAGCGGCGTCGGAGATGGAGTTTTGGAAGAAGTACATTGGTTTGGCAAGGTCCGGTGGAGCAAAGTAAGTGGAACATCTGTCATCCACTCGAAAACGACCACGAATCTTTCGATATACAAGACGTTGTCGCTTACTTTGTTTCTGTATCATCCACATGCTCACAAACTCATCTAATGATGTTATGTTCATCCCAAATACATACTTGCTTGAGATAATGAGCCTGGACGCACTGAAAGTGCGAGACGATCCAAGATCAGAACCAGATAGGGGCGTGTAAACAAAACCCAACAGCCTGGGAAATTTTTACGTTTTCCGCAAACTTATGAAAAGCGCTGTAACGAATTATCAGGAGAACCCTTGTTCAATCCAAGGCTGGGCCCTTCTTCGTGCGAGAGCACATTTTTTTCACTCTTCTTCCTCCGACTAATATCGTCTGATCTACCAGCGTCCCCAAGCAGGACCCGGTAGCACAACTGGCTAGTGCGCCCTGAATCAACGGGTCCACATGAAGCTTTCTCAGGGCGATCCTTGTTCGAATCAAGGGTGGGTTAATTTTTAAGGTAACTTTTATCTATTGCATACCCCGAATTCGAACAAACACGGGGACCACATGCCGTACAGTTTAATCAATGGACTGGTTTCTGCTTCCCGCTGGCGATCTTAACCGCAGCATCCCTTGCCGCAGACCGCAGCCCGTTGAAACGCACAGTACTTGACCTTTAAGTCGACCTCTTCTTGACCTCGAACGTTCAGCCCAGCACCAACCCCATCGCTCCTCTTCCGGTAAAAATGAACACTCGATGCGGCCACTCTTCTCGTCACGTCCCTCCTGCTGGTTCGGCCCCTTCAACCGTCACATGGTATATTCAAAATTCCGGGCTGATGTCCGCGGACTCGTGAGCCCCATTGCAGTCGACTAGCGCTCAGAAGTGGTCCGACATGATTCCTCAGCCGATACATGGCGTATCTGAAGCAAGAGTTTGTTCGACTCGGCGAAGCCGACCCAGCTGAACCCATTCTCTTCGCGGATTCTTTCCTCGGCGTCGTTGAATACTTTCCGAAAATCGAGATGCTCGCCAAAGCGTTCAAGGTCATACGTGGTGTGAGGCAGCAAACCATGCCTATATTTTACACCATCGAAGGACACAGTAAGATCTTCAGAGTGGCGTGAGTCTACTTTTCCGTATCTTCATCCCATACCATAACGACCATTTTGGCTTGCAGCGCGGAGGTAGATAGGGTGTGGACGGATTCGGGCAACCCTTCGGCATCAGTTTATGCAACTGTGTCGTTTCCCCAAGCGTATGCCCGCGCCCGCAAATTAGTGTACTAACCAGGAATCTCGGATTCCGTATGCTGCGAGTGGCTGGGTCTTTTCATGGCGTGTGCAGTGGTGCGGAGATACAACATCAGCAACCTACTCTGCAAATTTTATTTGGTGTTTCGTTGGGTCAACTTAACACCTCCGCACCATGGCCAGATCGCTCGCGGGCAGGCGTTCACTATGTGTCGGTGTTTGCCAGCCACGTGGCCGCGTAAATTTCTACCTAACTGTCTCTCTGCCGTGCTTGAAACTGTCGTCCTCCTGGTCGAAGCTCAGAATACCTAACCCCGCTTCCGTAGCTGCACTTCAGAATTCTTTGCCAAACTCAGCCTGCAGCAGCCAAAGCACTTAGGATTCACGAGCCTATTTCTATCCTCTTTCATCCGTCTGAGGCGTCGGAAGGTGCAAAAAACAACTTTTCATCGGTTGTCAAGCCTTGGCGGCACACTTAGTGTGCACTCCCTAAATTTCAAGTAGTGTTCGCCGACCAGGTTCGACTCCTGGCCAGGGCATTTTTTCTCAGAGTCCACAGTCGGAAAATATCTTTCCAACGAGACGAAGCGCTACAGTCTTGGGAATGATCGGAAAAAAATGCAAGCGTGTGCAGCAACTGTCACGAGTGACTTTGTGGATGTGTGACAGCCGTGACAGCCGAAGCTGTTGGTTTGCTGACACGACCCCGGCAGATGTGCCCGCGCGCAACTTCTAAAGTGCGTCGGTAACTTTCGCGGATGACTCTCTCTACAAGGGACGCGCACATCCCGTCCGCGGTGAGCGTTCGCCCGAACACCGCCGTTGCTCTCATCGCCACAGCCGCAGATTTTATTGATATAGAAGAGGACGTCGGGAATCTCAGGGTCTCTATCTCGCTTCCTCAATCAGGCCTTGCAACGCACGTAGCTCGTATCTCCCAAAGCTTCAAGTTGAATGACGTTCTCCTGCAACTTTGAAGGACGCCCAGGCTCGAATCCTTATTAGGCATTTTTTTTACAGGAGTCAGAACTCGGTGTTCCAGGTGGGTTGGAAAGGTTCGTCGTGTTCAGGGTAAGCGTCACCAGTGGAGCTTCCTCCTTATTTGCTGGATTTCTGCACAATGACTGTACCTGCAATGCCATACCTGGACGCCTGGCACAGTCGAGCCCTATGGACTTTGAATCCCCTGCCGTTCGGTGGTCGCGGGTGAGCCGTTCTGTGCTTGAGCAGGCAAATGTTACTACCGCGATATCTTACTGGCACGTAAAACAGAAGCAGATCATTCTAAAACACATCCACTAACATCCGTTCAAAATCGCGTTGCGCGACGGTTTCCCTGACCCCCCCGTGCACGTTACACCACCACAGGGTCTTCGCAAGTGAGGTCACATCAATTACGGGACTCCAACTTCCCTTGTCTGGCCCGTTTTTGACGATTACCGCATCGGTGTAACAACTCCTTGCATTGACAAACTGTTACATGTCGGCGTGGAGGACCGGCAGACAACTGATGCCAAAGGGGGACAAGACCGAATCCGTCGGCCGAGTCGGACATTCGCCCGAGTTCGGAGCCGAACCGGAAAACTAGGAGTCAGCCATCTCGCAAGCACCACAGGTAGATTAAGGGTGTGCGACTGTCTAGCCTTCGGCTGCGAGAAGAATGGAAGGGAGGAAAGGAAGTGGTGAATGATCCGGACCGGAGCCGGAGCCGAGGCCGAGCCGAGGACCGAAGGAGGCCGGAGGTAAGCCGGGCAGATGGTGAAGTCGCCAGAGCGGACAGGAGCACCGAGGGACAAAGACCCGAGGTCGTCCGGACGGAAATCGGAGGTCGGACCGGAGGCGAACCGGAGGTGATCGGAACCGAATCGAAGTGACGGTTAAGTCAATAGAAGTAAAGGGGATAGACGTCCGGGCAGGTTGACTTGAACCCGGAGTCGAGATGAAGCAAAGAGGCATCAGCCCATGAAAGGAAACATGGAATAACGTTAATTATACAACTAAGGTACAGGGATGTAACTAGCTGCTTAAATACGGAGAAGGTAATTGTGAATACATATATGGTAATATCATGATGGTCCAAGCGCAACAATAGCAAGTGACCAAAAGGGGAAGGAGAAGTAAAACATGAGGATGAGACAAAAGGAGAGAGGAACAATAAAAGCGGATAAACGGAAATACACAGTAAGCCTTCGTTGCGTGATAACCCGATGACTCCGAGGGTTGCCGAGCGTTCCGAAGATCTCGGGGCCGCCGAGTCGGCCGAGTCGGCCGGATTGATCGGAATCGGCGGAGGTATCGTCGGAGATGGTAAGTTGGGTTGCACAGATATAACACAAACAGAGACAAGACCGAGTTTTTGCAGCCCAGTCGCTGGCCTGATAGCACATAAACCTATGCACATGGTCAAGATCGAACTTTGGACGCCCACAAGGCCCCGTACCTCGTAGTACCAACCATTGCAATCTGGATCACGGTCGTAAAACCTAGCAATCCGGTGGACGTCATCCTGTAAGCTGTTCAACGATGGATGTGTTGCCGCGTGTCTGTGACGTACCGTATCGACACCAAGCACCAGAGCGATGTCTTGGACAGAGGGACGTGGAGAAGATACGCCAGAAAAACGTGGTTGCAACTGGCCAAGTATATTATCGCGAGCTCCCAGAACATTCCCCGTGCGGTCCATTCGGCAACAAACTATGGTCGGAAGGGCTAAAGAGTACTTTGAACGGATCGCGCGCATGCGCTGCAAACCGGGAGGTAAGGGACAAGCAACAGAGGTGGAGATCTACACTCACGCGGGTCCCAACTACCCAATCAGGTTGGTGCTCTTTCAACAACGCAAGCAAGCGCGACAATGGTGCAGTTTTGTCAACACCGCACAGCCAGTCGGCCAGCTCTTTTTCGTTTGGAATCATCGGGCAGGGCTCTTTTCCTTCTGGTAACCGACTCATTAATTCCCTACCTGTTAAAGCGGAGGCGCCGAACTCCATACGGATGGCTCTGTAACGGTCCGCGTTGCTCCCCTTACCAACCTCTCGTCGGTTTGCTGACGAATGACTATCATGACAAATACCGGGAGATGCCGCGAACGCTCAAGATTTATTAGTCAGAACCGTCTTTGAAGCTCTTAAGGGCCATCGTTCAATGACCACAGCGTGACCGAGCTCTCTGTCGACCATGGTACCTTTACTCCGTAAACGTTGGACAAGGGCGCCCGTAGCCGATTTCCACCCCCACAACGAACCATGGAAGGCCTGGGACGCCGCTTTCGATGCACTACTCCGGCAGCTTAGAGAACCTTCGCCAAACGACGAGGGAACGGGAAGCGCTATATCCATGTGGGTTGCTCTTGACGTTGGGGACCCGTCTAAAAAGTCGTGTATAGGGGCGGCAACATCGCTGAAAACCATGCCATACTGCAGGATCCCAACGTGATTTTCATTGACCACTGGGATCCGTATGTTCGCCTTGCGCGTCTCGTATTTTGCCTTATACCTCAATGCTAGAGAAGCGCAACGCACCTGGGCCAACGTGTGCCGGATGATTGACGACAGGACGAAGTGTGCAGCGCCTCGTCGTATCCACCCAAAGTGGATACGAGTGCGTGGAAAACCTGGTAGCGCCTGGCGCCACTGGCGAGGCCCTGCAGAATAATCAGCTTTCCTGGACATTGCGCCGTCATGGCTTGGGAAGCATCTTTAGACTGTTAACTCAAATCAGGCCAGTTCGAGAAAAACGTATTGCTAACAGAGTGCTAAAACGCAATGCTCGGGACAACGGAACGGAAGAAAAGGTTCCCCAGTACCACGACGTTACAATATACATCTCGGCTTCACATTGCGAGAAAGTAGATTGCCGTAAAAATGAATAGACAGTGGATCAGCTGACTCTGCATGCAAGCACTGTCGTCGGAAAAAAAATAAAGGGTTCCATAAATTTATTCAGCGTTTCGTTGGGAGAGTCGCGGACTGCGACTCCGGATCATGAAGCCGGACCGGCGTTGCCTGTGTGTTAGGATTTGGTCGCCACGTGGCCGTTTGCTACTCTATCTCTGTACTCACCCCATGTTTACCGATTTACCCTCTGAACTGATACGTGAAATCGGCTCTTATGTCCCAAATCCCCGTCCTCTGTCAATGGTGTCCAGACCTGCGCGGCAGGCTGTTTTCCCCCTCCTCTGCCGCCATTTACGGGTTCCACGCGAAGACGCTGGGACGCTGAACCAAGGCTCGTTCAGAGTACATTGGGTTCGGA